ATGCTGGAGGGAGGTGGCAGCACAGCATGAGGGCAGGAGATGATCTGCGGTTTAACAGGATGGCTGTGGGAAGGTTGATGACACACAAACAGGGAAGGAAAGGAGTGCGGGTGGGATGGAAGCGAGCAGGTGAAGGGGATAAGGATGGATACACACCACCTCGATACGAGTTATAGCCGGAATACCTTCTCGCTGTTTAGGAAAAGGGGGGTGGAGGACGCCGGAGGCTGTCCTATCTCAAGGAAAAAACTAACTCTAAACAAAGAAAATAATATATTTTAAATAATAGATAGCTAGAAGTAGTTGGGCAGCAACCCTAACCCAAATAATTGGGACTGTCTGCCCTCTTGTCACCATTCTCGAACCGGTCTAGCTTTCCCACCTGGATCAGCCACCTGTTCAGTACAGTCCTGTATTGTGTTGGTTCTCAAAAGTCATAAGCAAAACTACCTCAAGTTACAATAAATGACATTTGTTTACTTTTAAATCTTATTTCAACCAGTTTTTTTTTTATTTTGATTAATTTTATCTATAGAAAGTTACATTCCTTTTAACACTTAAAAATTATAAAATCTAACAAAAGTTAGTGAGTTTTGATTGCATGATAATTTATAGAAAATTAATAACATAAAATGGAGATTCATAAAAACATATGACATTATATTATAGAAATCTTAAAAAACAGAATAGGTCAATTTTACTTTATCATTTGACTAATTGTTGTTATTGGAGATTCTTACTGACACCATGCTTTATCATGCTTTCTCTGTGCACTTGGGCAAAAATTTCTTATTGCACACTATGTAATCAATCTCACCCACAGGCGTGAAGGACCGTCTTTTTCCCCTACTTTGTCTGCAACAACTCTGGATTCTGATTTCTCATAAATTGTTTGCCTTGTGAACACCTTTTTTTTGCTGATTGCTGATGAGATTTTTCTCGTCTTTTCGTTATTTATTTATTTATTTTATTTATTGTTTTTGTGATTTAACTAAGTCTCTTATTTGATAATTTTTATATTTTAAAACAACTGAACATGGTCTATCATACCAAACAGGTTTTGTTTAAATAAAAATTAACAACAATAAAAAAAACGATAAAATTAAAAATGATCCCAAACGGCCCCTAAGTTTCCAATTTTGCATCATATTTTTTTCACATTTTCCTGCCTAAAGCCATGATCTTCTGTGCTTGTAGTTCTCCCACCTTGCTTGGATTCAGACAGATAGAAAGGCAGGAGGACTTGGGGATATAAAATATCCCCTGATATCTGATGTGACTAAATCAATATCACGTTCCTATGGTGTATTAATTCCTGACCAGGTAAGGTTCCCTCAAAATTTTCATTGCACTGTTGGATGCCAAGATTGCTTATTTTTTATGAATTTAAATAATTTAATCTATTAAATCATAAATTTGCAAAAATCTCTCAATTAATATAAAGATTAAGAAGAAATGGTTTAGGGACCTAAAGAATTATAAGTACTAATTGTAAAATTTCAACTTCCATCATCCAAACTCTTTTCAATAAACCTATCTCAGCATAATCTGCCTTCTACTTCTCATGCTATACCTGTTTTTATTTTTACAGAAACTTAGATTTTTTAGCTAGCAATTTTTTTGTCTATTTGTGGAAAGTTTTCTTTGGCAGTCTCAGTTTTAGGATTAAATGTTTATGCCAGACCTGTATTTAATTTTTGGTCTTTTTGTCTTCATCATATTCTTTTTAGATTAATTTTATAAGCATATTACTCTAGACTCTCATGTTGATTCTACTGTATAATTGCAATATGATTTTTATACTAAAGCCTTATCCTATTCATAGCGGTCACCAACTCCTCTATTTTCTTCTCTTCTCCATAGCCTTATCCTTCCTCAGCACCTGGGATGGGCTTTATAGTCTCATCCTTCCTCAGCACCTGGGATAGGCTTCATAGCCTCAGCACCTACGATGGGTTTCATAGCCTCATCCTTTCTCGACACTTGGGATAAGCTTCGTCCTTATCTGTTCTCGGTACCTTGGACAGCTTTGTCCTCATCCATTCTCGGCACTTGCTATTTATTGGATTCGATATCAGTCTTAATGCATTCCTTCCTAATGTGATAAAATTGTAACACTAAAAAAGACCTCGCAGTGCATTTGGGGCACCTGCTCCACCCACACCATATGAAAAGTTCACTCACGCTACATTTGCACTGACTACGCACACACTAAACTAAAATTTGCCCACTTCGCTATGTCGGCACAGGCTACGCGTACACCAAATGAAAAACACTCTTTGTTATGCCCCCGAGGCTATGCATACTCTTTGCTACACCCAGTCGAGGCTATGCAAAATCTTTTTGCCAATACACGACAACTCTTTGTCAAATCATGACAATCCCTCGCCAAGTTATGACGACGCCGATCAGGTCATGGCCATCTTTCTGCCGAATCACGACAATACCTCTAGATTCATACCTTCCTTCCCCTAACGGATATAGGTTGAATCTATATATATATATATATATATATATATATATATGAGCTAGGTAATAGACCTCTTTAAGTGTACACGACAACCTAAATTCTCCTTCTTTGACATTTGCTACCACTAAGACCATATACCTCAAGTGATGCAATAGTATCTTTGACTAGCTCTCAACTTGAACAGGAGTATCTGTGTTTTTCTTCCTCACAACTTTTAAAAAAATACACACACATCAATCTTTGATAAATATCATTCTTGCTCATCCCCAGCAGATAACACCTTCTATATCCCCAGTGGGTGTTCACTAAGCTACCTGTGGTGGATACTAGCGCAGTTCCTCCCTTACTGAGTTGTATACTCTTTGAGGGAAAATTAACTTCAACCTTTCTCGATTGGTTCATTGATCGCCTCGGTTAACGCCAATAAGCGCGGTGTGCTTGTTTAACACACCACACTTATTGGGGGTCAATTTGTTGACCTCACTTTTGGGTGAGGGTTTTAGGTTTTTCCTTTAGTAACTAGGATCCTGATGACTATCTTAGCATCTTAGAAATGATACTCAACTTCTCCTTAGAAATTTCAACCAAATCTCTATTCTCTATGTTAGTTCTATATGTGATCAATAATCTTTAATACAAAATTAAAGATTACATAAGGGAACTCTGATGAGAATTCCTATAGGACCTTTGGATCATAGAAAGTCTTGCACTGCTGTACACCTTTTGGACTTCAATACATTGCATCGTCATTCATAATCACCATGATCATCATAAACATTGCATTTTCATATCAAAATGTTACAATCACTACATTCATTGGACTGACCAAAATTATTTGAACCCAGCTTTCCTTAAAAAAGTACCTCACTTGAATATTCTAATTCTTCAAAATTCCAAAAAAAAAAACTGCAACTGAATCATAAAATCCACTTCAGACTTTTTGATATTATCATTTAGACCATTTTAAACGCAAAAAATGTAAAAATACCCAATTTTCCAAAAAATTACCAAAATGCCCCTGGTCCCCCAAAATATCAAATTTTCTAAAATCTCTCAGAGTCACCAATAAGTCCTAAAAGTCACACCAAATCATTTCTTATGTCTTCCTGAGAATTTTGACTGTAATATTGTCATACTTCTGGATAATTTTTTGACACATTGACACCAAAATAACAAATACTTAAAAAATATTTCAGAGATCATAAAACATTCCACATTAATCAAAAATGACTCCGAACATTGTCGTTTGACTCAAAAATTTTCTCTAAACCACCTCGAGCTTTTAAATCAACCTTTGGACCACTTCGATCAAAGTTGACTAAAATTACTAAAATGTCAATGGACGAAAAATTCTCAAATCCTCCAAAATCATTTCAAAAGCCCTGAAATCAATTCTTGACCATCCATTGGGTCGAATTTGATCAAATTCACTCACTTTGACAAAAATCGTCAAATTGAGTTTCATGATCAATCAAATACCTCAATTTCATATTCAACATGTCTAGATTTAATTTCAAATAAATTCAAATCAATTTAATTGACCCATGATCAATTTCCAAAACAATCGATCGTGAACCAAAAAAATTGACAAAAATTAAATTTGATGCATTTTTTACTCAGATCGCAGAAAAAGTGGTCTGAACGATCTCGGATGATGAAATGGACCGCGCAAGCGTGTCCGGATTTCACGTAGGGAGGACGTTCATTTCACCGCGATGATGCTTTCGACGAAAAATGCACAGAGAGATTTAAATAATAATAATAATAATATTATTATTATTATATAAAAAATTAAAATAAATTAAAATAAATTCTCAAGCATGCAACGATAAATTCTTATCAAATCACGCATGACCTTAGTCCCCCCTCATGCCTTCCTCTGTCATTCACGCACGCCTCACTAAATGCAACGATAATATATATACTCACACATGCAGCCTAATCTCTCTCTCTCTCTCTCTCTGCTGAAAGATGAAAATAAAAAAAAAATTATTAAAAACAATCTCTCCCTTATATAACACACTCCAACCTAAACACTACCTCCCAAGACTCTTTTCTCCTTCATGTTACTCAGCAGCAGCTCCCCACCTCCTCCCTCGCCGGAAACCGCTAACGTCGCCGGAAAATCCGAAGCCGAGCCAACTTTTCATAGAGCCTCTCAAACCTTCTGTATCCTTAACGAAATTTGCAGCCCTTGACCCGAACAACCCAACCCACACCACCGCCGCCGTCGGAAAAACCCTCTAAAGCTCACGACCACCTTTTAATTTTGCATGAAAAAACTCTTTCGAAACTCACCCAAATTGTTATATTAGCCTTCTTAGGTCTTTATGAGGTCAGATCAATTATTTTCCATCATTTTGACGGTTGCTAACGCCTCCTCCAAGCGACGTCCTCCAAGCGACGTTCCAAGCGACGTCAAGTCAACTCCGGCGAACTTCCAATCCGACGTAAAAACGACATCAAACCGATGCCACAAGGAGTTGGATAAGCTCAAGAAGGCCTACTTCTTCAAACCTAATTGAGGACAAACCTGTTAGACTTAGGTATATCTCTTAAATTGAAATGATGATCCCGAACTTTCATCTCTTCCAGATTGAAAAGTAGATCAGAAAACACCTAAGTATCAGTATGGATGTGATCTACTCTTTGAGCTGAACAAAACGAGTCCAAAAACGTAAAATTTGGTTGAGAATCGGCGGAGAACAAACCCCGCGAAGTTTCGGCTGTTGGTTCTCCTCCGTGCGTCGCAGCTCTCGGTGTCGCGGGCGTGAGGGAGATGATGTAGCGATTTTTTTATTATTTATTTATTTTATTCAAAAATTATTACTAAACTTTAAAATTGCCTAACTTTTTGTAGAAAACTCTAAAAAACAAACCGAAAGATGTTATGAACTCAAAAAAAATGAAGAGAATATTTTAAAATTAAAATCATAATTTTTCATCAATTAAATATGTTTTAAATTAATTTTTGAAGTTTTGGAGAATTTAAATCATAAAAATTAAAATATAAATGGGAAAAATATGAGCAGAGATATTAAGTAGCTTGGAAAAAACCTTCTCGAATTTTTTCAATTCATTTTGATTCCTCTGTAGGGAGATTTCTTTTTTTTAAGTGAAATGAGTCATTTTAAATAATTAAGAAAAATAAGAAATGTGCAATTTTTAAATTTCCTTTGATTTTGTTCTTTGACTTTAAACAGATCTTGAAAACCTTAAAATCATATTTAAAATCATTTTACTAATCATAATTCACTAATTAGGGAGTAGGTTTGAGTTAGGTTAGGTTAGCCTAACCAGAGCTCAAGCTAAACTTAGTCTAGTCTATTTAAGGTTCATGTCGGTCTCCTCGCATTAGTAGAATTGATCTGAATCATCCTCTTAAATCAACCCAATTTAAACCCGATACTTGGTTAGTCAACTTTGGGGTTTAATTAGTTAGCCACCAAATCAATAGGATTAGCTAAACCTAAATATTAGGTTAGTTAATCCTAAATAAATAGGATTAGTTAATTTGAATATTATGTTAGTTAAATCTAAACCAATAGGATTAGTTAACCTGAATATTAGTTTAGTTAACCCTAAACTAATAGGATTAGTTAACCTGAAGCTTAGGTTAGTTAACCCTAAACCATTAGGATTAGTTAACCTAAACATTAGGTTAGTTAACCCTAAACCAATAGGATTAGTTAACCCTAAACCATTAGGATTAGTTAACCTAAACTTTATATTAGTTAACCCTAAACTAATAGGATTAGTTAACCTAAAGCTAAACCAATAGGATTAGTTAACCTAAACCTTAGGTTAGTTAACCCTAAACCAATAAGATTAGTTAACATAAACATTATGTTAGTAAACCCTAAAACCTAAGGTTTATGTTAATTAATTCTATTGGTTTAGGGTTTACTAACCTAATGTTTAGGTTAACTAATCTTATTGATTTAGGGTTAACTAACCTAAGGTTTAGGTTAACTAAGTCTAAACCTAAACCTTAGATTAGTTAACCCTAAATCAATAAAGATTAGTTAACCCTAAACCAATAGAATTAGTTAACATAAACCTTGGGTTTGTTAACTCTAATCTATAAGATTAGACAAGCCTAAACCTTAGGTTAGTTAATCCTAAACCAATAGGATTATTTAATTTAAACTCTAATAGGATTAGTTAACCTAAAGCTAAACCAATAGGATTAGTTAACCTAAATCTTATGTTAGTTAACTCTAATCCAACTATGATCTTTATGCTAAACAAACTTGAATCATAGTTTAGCCTTAAGCTAAATCTACCCTAAATCTTAGGTTAGAACCCAACCCATATGTTGAGCATAGAAGAATCTTTTAGGTATAACCTTAAACCTAAATTAAACCTAAACCCTTCAACTTGAACAATAATTAAAAAATAAAATAAAACATATTGGGAGGGTTAAAATTTACATAAAATATATTAAAACTTAAACTTAGATAAAATCAAATGCAACAAAGCCTTTAAAGCATGGCTTTAACCAAGTATCGGGTTTAAATTAGGTTAATCTAAGAGGATGAATTTAGATCAGTTCTACTAATGCTAGAAGTCCGACATGAACCTTAAATAGACTAGACTAAGTTTAGCTTGAGCTCGGGTTTCGCTAACCTAACCTAACTCAAATCTACTCCCTTATTAGTGAATTATGATTAATAAAATGGTTTTAAGGTTTCCAAGGTCTGTTTAAAGTCAAAGAACAAAATCAAGGGGAATTTGGAAATTCCACATTTCTTATTTTTCTTAATTATTTAAAATGACTCATTTCATTTAAGAAAAAAAGAAATCTCACTACAGAGGAATCAAAATGACTTGAAAAAATCCGAGAAAATTTTTCTCAAGCCACTTAATATCTCTGTCAAATTTCATATTTTTCTCGTTTATTTTTTAATTTTTATGATTTAAATTCTCCAAAACTTCAAAAATTAATTTAAAACATATTTAGTTGATGACAAATTATGATTTCAATTTTAAAAAATTCTCCTCATTTTTCTGAGTTCATAGCATCTTTCGGTTTGTTTTTTAGAGTTTTCTACAAAAAATTATGCAATTTTGAAGTTTAGTAATAATTTCTTAAATAAAATAAATAAATGATAAAAAAATCGCTACATCATCTCCCTCACGCCCGCGACACCGAGAGCTGCGACGCAACGCACGGAGAACCAACGACCGAAACTTTGCGGAATCCGTTCTCTGCCGATTCTCAACCAAATTTAACGTTCTTTGACTCGTTTTGTTCAACTCGAAGAGTAGATCACATTCATACTGATACTTAG